ATATAAAACAAAATAACAAAATAAAAAAAATTGAAAAATAATTAATAAAGATTAAAATAAAGTTGATGGTTTTTTTATTTAGTTTTATTAAATATATAAATAGTTATAAATTATATAGTAGTTAAATAAATTATAATAAAATAAAAATTTTTATAATAGAATCAACCTGTTTGTATATTCTTAAAGCTAAGAAAATCAAAAATACAAGTATAATAAAGATATAAAAAACTAATATTTTTTTTTAGAAAAAATCTGATTATAAAATTATAAAAAAAAATTGAAAACTTAACTATACAAAAAAATTTATAAATTTATTAATATAAATGAAGATTTTAAATATATAATTTTAGAATAAAATAATTTTATTTTAGTTTTTTTGTAAATTAAAATAAAAAAAATTTTCAATCAATTAGAAATGATAAGAATTTTAAAAGACTTATAAAGTCTAATATTAAAAAAATTTCAAAATAATATAAAAGATTAGAAGTACATAGATTTATTTTTACAATTATATATTATACAAATTTTCTAGAAGGAAAACTAAAGAATTAAAGATCATTATATACAACCTTTCAGGTTTGTTTTTAAATTAAAGATTTTTATAAAGGAAAAAGTTGAACAAAGAAAAAAAGAAATGTTAGTTAAATGTTTAAATTGAATTATAATTAAGAAAGATAAAGAATAATATTTTTTTCTGACATTATTATTAATGATTTTCTTTTATTTATTTTGTTCAAATTTATATTCTTGTTTAATTTTTAATATAATTTTAATTTTAAATAAATTTATTTTGTAATTAATATTTTGAAATTCTTAATCAATAAAAAATTTATTTTTTTTTTATCTTTTGTTTTTAAAAATTTCTGATTGTACATGAGACATTATATACATTAATATAAGTGACCAAAAGAAAATTTTTACAAATTATTTTGATAATGAATGAAATGATTAACAGATTTTTCAAAATTCGTGAACTATCCTAAACATTTATTCTGAATTATTTTCAGGATAGTGGGTAATGGGTAATCACGAGTTCTAGATTATGTATTATACTGATATTGATGTAGTATGTTTTATTAAAATGCGTATAATAATACAAAAATAAATAAAATAAATAGGTAATTTCTAGAGATGGATTTCATGCGTGCGCATGATTCCTTTCATGCGCATTTTATCCCATCAAGATTTCTCTCCTCTTGATGATTTTCTTTTTTTCCCTTTTTTTTATCATGCGATATTATGCGCATGAAACATTTCGTGCGCATTAATGCACATTCATGCGCATGTTATTATAGAATGCGCATTTTCCCCATCACTAGTAATTTCTAATAATGATTTTTCTAGACTATGTTCTGTTTGACGTCGATATCAATATAATATATAATCTAGAACTCGTGATTACCCTCTACCCGCTATCCTGACAATAATTTGGGATAAATTTTTAGAATGGTTTACAAATTTTGAATTCAGCTGTAATTAATTTCCGGAACAGAGTGGAGTAACTTAAGTCCAGAAAATATGCAAGAAAATTCCATATGGGTGGACTCCAGCTCAGAGTGCAAAATAAGATGCAAAATTTTAATCAGCATGTCATCAGTTAACTTTTAGCAGTAAATACCGTATTATTTAACTTTTTCAGCAGATGTAAAATCACATAATAAAACCGGACAAATCCCAAACCTTTTTTTCAAATTCTAAATTGCCAAATCCAAAACTCATTATCATTGTTCTAGTAATGATATATTAAAGAGTCTATACTGGTGATGTGCCGCATACAGTACTGTACGTACTGTACGCGAAAATTTTTGCCAATACTTTCTATCTGCCAACCAAATCGCTAGATACGCACTGTACGTACTGTACGTGAAAAAAATTCGGGTATCATACATATATCGCATGATATGACGATTCTACCTCTATTGCAATGTAATTTCACACAAAATAAATATCATGTTCTAAAATAAAATTTTAGATAACTTTCACGACATAATATGATATAACTATAATCTTGCATGCAACATCGGTATGTTAAATCTATACTAGGTTTACCTTGTACAAGGTACATCCCTAGTATAAAATTTGAATTGAGATTATAGATTCGAAAATTAGAGACAGGGTCTGTGATTTTGGGAATTTTTCATGTGGGATTTGAGTTTAGGTGTGATTTTAAAGATTTGTAGTTTGTATAGCTACATTTTAAGAACTATAAACTTGTACTATGGTTCTTAGTACACCTGAGAAAGTTGGATGCATTCTAACTTTATGGGGAAGAGAAACACTATGGCTATATGATTCTTTTATGCATGTTAATCATGGTGTATTACACTCTTGAGAAGAGTTTGGTAGAATTTTTTTTAGAAATTCTAGTTATTTAATAAGAACAAAAAGTTTTCATGTCATTTTAACCTGCTCAAAAGAAACACAATAGCTTCAAAAATAAGTAATTTTCTGAAGAATCATATAGTTATGCTTGAAGTTTATAGTAAATTATTTGTAATTTTTATTATAACTCTCTTACATATAACATCTCTGACAGACAGTATTAATTTATAACAATTAATTTACAATTTCTGATTCTATATAAAACTAATTGTAAACATATATTTATTTATTATACTAAACTTATTTGTTTTAAAAAGTATAGATAATCGAGAATACCGATTTTGAATCGTGTAGTAAAATCAATTTTAATGGATAGTAACTAAATAAAATATCCAACAATATTTAAAAACCTTTTAAATAGTGTTCAATTTTTAAATTACATTCCAAAACGTTATATTACCAATTCGAATTCGAATTCACATATCAGCATTTATCCCGTAAAAACGATAACATATGTACTATTCTCAGGTATGGTATAAACTGTACAAATGCAAATAATAATATTCTATGCTTTTTTAACCATTTTCTTTTGCTTTTTCTTAAGTTCTCTTTTTCATTCTTTTTATTCATACTAATATGAGTAAAATGTTAAAATATTGAGTTAACAAAATAGAATACTATAAAAATAAAATTTATCATTCGTTGTTCTTCGGGAGATAATTTAGCTACACGCTCAGCTTCGGCACGTTTCTTGACAGTCTTTTCTGCTGAATTTTCTGATTTGAAAAAAGCCCAAGTTAGATTAGTTGTGAAGGATATATAATAGCAAATAACGAATTTGTAATTAATAAATTTTAATGTAAGAAATATACCTCTTGTCTTTCAAGTGCTAATTTTTTTGTATCACTTTGTGAGCTTCTTCTCTGTTCTTGTTAATTTTTTGCCTAGTCTAAACCATTAAGTACCAAATATAACATTAATAATGATGTGCTACTTAGAGATTTACAACTTATCTATTATATTAAGTCATCACATCTTTTAATCACAAATATGTATCCATAAGACAAATAACATACCTCCGTTCTGAAAGAACATTGAGCAGGAATCCAATCAATCAATGTTAGAAGTAGTTCTGTACAATTTGAATATCTGAAAACATTGATGTGTCATTTGGAAGTTCATGTATGACAGTTAAAATTTTTTGTCGAGTTTCAATGATTCTGCATATACCAAAAAACTTGATTAACATGATAATCATAAACATAATTACAAGTTTAGCAAAGCATACTTTTCTGGACGAATTCGTGGCTGATCAGAATTATTAGATATGTCAAATATTTGGAAGATGCTTTCAACAATTCAATAATTCTACTGCCAAAAATCGCATCAGTAATTTCCACAGATTCACTGTGAACATTAAAAGCGTTTGGAAGGAGACTATGCTAGTTCGTTTGGTAAAAGTTTTCTTAATATAACATAATGGAATAATTAATAATCATGTTCGTCGTACTAGGGATGTCAACGGTCGGTTTCGGTCAGTCATCATCGGTCATGAGTCATGACCGAACCGACCACGGTCATGACCGATAGGTAATTTAAAATTTTAATTTAATTAATGTTAGTTAACTTAAGTTAAAGCTTTTTGATTTAGAGTTAATAAGCTAATGCGGAATAAATTTATATTTAAATTATATAATCTGTAATAATATAATATATAGTTAATAATGTAATATTTTATTATAAAATAAATTTAATTAAGCTTAATAATAGAGATAAATATAAATTTAGACAGAAAAAATCCATTGGGAAAAAAACCTTAAATAAATATAATAAAATCGTTTCCGGGTTTATTTTCGTTCGTTATACTGTACACATGAAGGGTACACAGTACTGGTCACATTAAATATTGAGATAGTATTTTAGATAAAATACGCTTACGTGTACACAAGTTATCGCACATATATAAGGTGTGAAAAATGACGTGTGAAAAATAGGCAACGCATAACAATATGTGACGAACAGAGTCACGCGGACCAATCAAATGCTGAGAATTGTACAGACACATTGTAAACCATACACTACGTACTTTGTTCCAGGTATATACATTTATTTATTAATTATCATTTAGCTAAATTGGTTAGATTTGATTATATGGATTGTGCCGAAATTATTGTTATATACAAATTTATTTTTGTATCATGATAATTATTTTACAGATCGTTACAATGATAAATAACAAAATATAATATCGGTCAAACGGTCGGTTCGGTCGGTCAGAATTTGTGACCGAACTGGTATCGGTCACGGTCATGACCGGTCATGACCGAACCGTTGACATCCCTACGTCGTACTCATAATAATAATACTTAAAAAAAATTTATGTATATATATGCGCTACCAAATCATAACGTGATTGACGTATTCATTGTTGCATTATAAGTCTAAAAGAAGTAAGTACATTGTAATTGAATTATTTAAATGATAATAGAGAAAATTGCTTTATAATTAATTACTTACGACAGTATCTTTTAGAGTTTTGCTGCTAAATTGAGATGTAAGAAAATTTGCAATTGTTTGAAGTATATTATGTTGTGGTTTAAGCCGTTATAATTAGGACATTATCAAAGGTAGATTCATAAAAATTGGTTGATAAAAATAAGGATTAATAATGCAAACCGTTATTCTTCCATGAATATATTGACAATTTCTGCGACGCTCTGGTAGAAAAGATAATCTACAGGACCATCATATATAAGAACACTACCATTATCATTTCCAATGAGGGAAAAATTATCTCTAAAAAGAATAAGATGCTTTTCCATCCTATAAAATCAATAAATCAAACTAATCAAATCAATCAAATTGGTAAACATTGAATTAAGAATAGAAAAAGTGGTAATTTACCATTTTATTGCAATTTTCTCATTAATCTGTTTGCCAATGAAATAAACAATAAGATATGTAATTATCATCGCAATCATTACATTTCGCGGTAAAAGTTAAATAAAACAAGTTTTGGGTACATTTTAGCAATAATAATAAATTAGACGTTTTGGTCATAGATTTTATAAAGAAATAGATTGATAAAAGAAACAAAAGTAAACCTTTGATATCAAGAGGTTTAGGCTCTCGGATCGCCTCTTTAACAGGTTCAGTAACGGGCTTGACAGGTATTTCGGTTATTTCGTCTTCACTGTCAAACTCGTCTAATGAATGTTCAACGTTATATAATTAAGCACTTTAAGCGTTAGAATAAATAGTCATAAAGCAATCACGTACCAGCAATAACTATTCCTACAATAGTTGACATATAAAAACCAGTGCTATAAAGAACAAGAGAGCATTTTTCAATCGTCGGATCATTTTGTCAATCTGAATTCTTCGCTAACTGATTCGTATAATAAATACGTACGTTTGTGCGTACGCAAGGTTTGAAAAAGAATTCAAATGTACAATACATACGAAAATCTGTCCAATCAGAGATTAGCAGTTAGTAAATCGGTATTTAAAATATGTTGAATGCATAATTATCATAAATTAAATTGACTTCAAATTTTAGGATAGTTTACAAATGCCCCGTAATCAGGGTTGTTGGTGCAGGTGGCGTCGCCACTGGCGCAATGCTTTAAATTTATATGATAACCTAATGGCGCAGCAGTGGTGCACCATTTGCACCGCCAACCCTACCCTAATACAGAGTAAAAAGTGCATTCGTGCAAAATTCTGATTTTCTACCCAATTCTTATTACTTACAGAAATAACTTGAGAATTCACGAGAATACGTATTAAATAAAACAAGAGTTTTATAACAGCATATAATAAAATATATTAATACTAAAATCATCATTCCTTATAATTTTACATGATTATTAAATTTAAAAATAATTGTAATTTTTTTATTTACCAAACCAATTTTACCAATCTTAATATCATTAGAACCACAAAAACCAGCTCAACAACTTTAATTAGAAGCACATAAAATTGACTTTATATAGTAAGAATGCCGATATTTTTTAATTATATATACAATCTTAACAAGTTTAATGTAAGACTTTATTATTTCCTGGTATTATTTTTCTTTTGAAAAAAAGGTATATTCAATTTCTTTGCACGCTTCAATTTCTTTATATCATTTTATCATTTTTTGAATCATTATGAAGTTTGATTCAATAGATAGTTGACCTTTTTATTTTTATGAAGATAGTGCCGCATGGTATCAATTTAGATTTATTTTATATTACTATTCAAATTATTTTACTTGCATATATATTATATTAATACATGAAATATTTACATTGTATATTATTACATTTAAAAATTATTTTTTAACTCTTCAATAATTTTGTAGCCTTTTTGGGATATTGCAAACTTTTCGCCCAGCTCACCAAATTTTTGATAATGAATATCAACCTTACTTTCATCCTTTTCAACTCCAATTCCGTCAAGATAACATTGACCAACCTTATATATACCATTAATATTACCCAAATCAGCAGATTTTTGATAATAATTGAATGCCTTACGTTCATCTTTTTCAATTCCAATTCCACTTTGAAAACAATAACCAGCATTGTACATTCCGTCAGCATTTCCCATATCAGCTGCTTTTTCATAATAAATGAAAGCCTTGGCGCTATCTTTTTCAACGCCAATTCCTTCTTCATAACAAATACCAACTTGAAGCATTCCTTGAGCGTTACCTAAATCAGCAGATCTTTTAAAATTAAGGAATGCTTCTTGTTCATCCTTTTCAATTCCAATTCCGTCAAGATAAAAATAGCCAACTTTATATGCACCATTAGCGTCATTCTTAGCAGATTCTTGATAGTAAGTAAACGCATTATTTTTATTATTTTCGACACCAATTCCTTCTTCATAACAAATACCGACTTGAAGTATTCCAAGAGCATTGCCCATATTGGCAGATTGTTTATAATGATTGAATGCCTCGACTTCATTCTTTTCAACTCCAAGTCCATTTTGATAACAATGCCCAACTTTGTATATTCCATCAGCATTCTTTTTGTTAGCAGCATTTTGATAATGAGTAAATGCTTTTTTTTCATCCTTTTTGACTCCAATTCCTTCTTCATAACAAATACCAACTTGAAACATTCCATAAACGTTGCCCATATTGGCAGATTGTTCATAATAATTGAATGCCTTACGTTCATTCTTTTTAACTCCGATTCCATTTTGATAGCAATGCCCAATTTTGTACATTCCATCGGCATTTTTTATATTAGCAGCATTTTGATAATAAGTAAATGCTTTTTGTTCATCCTTTTCGACTCCAATTCCTTCTTCATAACAGATGCCAACTCGAAATATTCCATGAGCGTTGCCCATGCTAGCAGATTGTTTATAATAGTTGAATGCTTCTTCATCATTCTTTTCAACTCCAATTCCATTCTGATAACAATGTCCAAGTTTGTATATTCCATCAGCATTCTTTCTATTAGCAGCATGTTGATAATAAGTAAATGCTTTTTGTTCATCCTTTTCGACTCCAATTCCTTCTTCATAACAAATGCCAACTTGAAATATTCCACGGTCATTGTTCATATCAGCCGATTGTTTATAATAAGCGAATGCTTCATCTTTATTCTCTTCAACTCCAATTCCATTTTGATAAAAATAACCGACTTCGTACGTTCCATCAACATTTCCCATATCAGCTGCTTTTTTATAATAAACGAACGCCTCTTGTTCATCTCTACTAACACCATTTCCGTTGCAATAACGTCGTCCAACTTCATATGCTCCATTAGCGTGCCCCATTTCTGCTGATTTTTGATAATAAATTAATGCATTTTGCTCATTTTTTACAGCGCCAATTCCTTTTTCATAACAATGACCAACTTCGTACATTCCATCAACATTTCCCATATCAGCTGCTTTTTTATAATAAACGAACGCCTCCTGTTCATCTCTACTAACACCATTTCCGTTGCAATAACGTCGTCCAACTTCATATGCTCCATTAGCATTCCCCATATCAGCAGCTTTTTTATAATAAACGAATGCTTTATGCTCATCCTTCTTAACGCCAATTCCTTCTTCATAACAATTACCAACTAGAAATATTCCACGAACGTCATTCATTTTAGCAGATTCTTCATAATATCTAAACGCCTCGCGCTCATCTTTTTCAATTCCAATTCCATTTTGATAAAAATAACCGACTTCGTACGTTCCATCAATATTTCCCATATCAGCTGATTTTTTATAATAAACGAACGCCTCCTGTTCATCTCTACTAACACCAATTCCGTTACGATAACGTCGTCCAACTTCATATGCTCCATTAGCATTCCCCATATCAGCAGCTTTTTTATAATAAACGAATGCTTTAT